GAATCAAATGACACCTTGTCTCATAAAAATAGATAACAATCAAGAATTTGTAGCAGAAGAAGTTTTAGACCTAAAACATTATTAAAATAGATTTAAATATATAGTAGATTAATACAAATATGATATTAATAAATGTATATGGCAGCCATCTACGAATTTTACAAATGCAAAAAAAAACATTGTTGCTTTTTATTAACAAAGTCCATTAAAATTATAATAAAAAATCAAATAATTATTTTTTATAAAGAAAAAAAGGTTCAAAGAAGATTAAATTCTATCTTCTATCTTTATTTGTGGTTCTTGTATTTTTTGTAGTATTCAAGCAATAGAAAAATAACAACCAATAGACTCAAATCTAAAGCTATTGTATATTAAGTTATTAGACAAGATGTTGAGATTGTCATATTCTTATAGACAATAGAATAGAAATAAAGTCTTTTAAGAACAATGTATTATTTCTTGAATAAATAGTAAAATATGACATATTTGATATCATGATCTTAGAAGAGACTCTTGATATTTGATTATATTATTGGTAGTAGAAACCACCCTTAATAGTATTTTAAATACTTTATAAGTTTAGTTTCAAGAGTCTTTTTATTTCTAATAATAGCCATTTTAATTTATTTTTAATATATATACTATTTTATTTTTATTTTGTTATTTTTCTTTAAGATACATCTTACTTATTTATTTTTATTCTTTAAATCCTTGTTTTTGAAACTTCTTTTAAGATATTTAGTATTGCTTGTTGTTTTTATATTGTCTTTGATAAAGAAGAAGATGTTTGGCACAAGCACAAACTAAAAAACTACATTAATATTTTGACTTCTTCAAAATTAATAATTATAAATTTTATTTATCATAGTAATATTTTAAAAACTAAATAAAATATCAATAATTGGCATGTTATAAAAAAATGAATCATTTCATTTATATTATCAATATTTTATTTATTAATAATTTAAATGCTTATTTTGATAAGAATAAGTTTTTTATTTTATTTTATTTTATTTTGAATCAATTATTAAGATTATTATTAAAGAAATTCTATTTCATCCTAATGATATTAAAAATATAATGCATAAATGTATTCTTATTATCTATTATATTCAAATTGATGAAAAGAATGGTAAAACATTTAATTATGAAGTAATAATCAAGATATTTTGTTATTTTTTATTGTATATTAAGTACCTCTTATGCAATGCCATATTTTAAATAGAAAATTTCTAATTCAAAATAACATGAGAGCATTGTGGCTTTAATTTTTTACAAAGTATCAAGGACATGATTGCATCAAATTATGCCTAGATTTTTTATATAATTTCTTTACATGTTCTATTAAATATAATTATGAAGGTTTGATCATTCTCAATTATGTAAGATAAACCAACTTATTAAGATATGTCTTATTAAGATGTGTGTTGTTAGTTCTATTATAATGAAGCCATGCAAAAAATTTATTTACTTGCTATTATTTTGTTTGATTAATACATTTATAAAATTATATGTAATATAGTGGCTATATTTATAGATGCACTTTGTCTTATATATAAAAAAATATAATATTTAATATATTAATTGATGGTGATTGAAATGTAACTAGTTAAATCAATAGTATTGCTTCTGAAATTAAATATATTGCTTTGCTTCAAATATGTTGAAATTGGAGTAATCTACATCAACTAAATATATTCATGGAATGTATTTTTATTAATTCTTTAAACAAACACTTCCTATGTAGTTCAATTGCTTTGATTAGATATCTTTAGCGATACAAAATCTTTATCTTCTAAATAAAAACTATGTGCCTAAAGGTAGCTAGTATATAATGGTCATGTATAGGTACAATTGTCAAATGATTTAAGCTTTATGAAGTTGTAAAAAAAGAATATCTAGATATAAAGAATTCTATATATGACAAATTATTAATGTTGTAGATCTTTATATTTACAGTTGAAGCAATTTCTAAGCAAGCAAGAAGTTTAATTACTTATTTTCATAATACAAGCAATTGAAACTTTTGATTGCAATATATTATCAAATAGCCAATATAAAGGAGTTGCTAGAACCATGTGACCTTGTACTATAATCATCAAACAACTTCCTTTTTAGCAATAGGTATGCACTTTTTAAATTGCATGTAAAGGATCTATTAGGCAAGATTGAGATTTGAATGTATCAAATACTAATTACTTGAACTACAAAAAAAATGAACATGTTGATCCATTATCATGTAGTAACATGACTATTAGGTGAAAGAAAAAAATATGTATTTTATTATAAAACAATGTAGTAGAAAGATATAATAAAAAAAAAAAATGATAAATAATAAAAAGATATCAAAGCTTTAATCTTAATACTAATTTTTTATAGAAAGGACTTCTATTTAATTTTTAGGAGCAAAAATAAGCCAAATAAAAATAAATAAGATAAGTAATTAATATAGACATATTTAGAAAAAAATTAAAAATAGTTTTTAGCAAAAATTACCTTGAAATATGAAGAATTGATACTCAAAGAGAGCCGGCTATGAACCAAGGTCAAAATTAGACATTAAGATACAAAATTGTGCACCTATAGTGATTCCATGGTTTTTTGGTTGATTAGAGAAAGAGATTTGATAGCAGACTTATGAAAAGTTTTTTAAAAGTTGATTTTATGTGATTTGAAGGTATATTAAAATTTTGAAAGCTTTTCAAAGTGAGAGATATATTCAATAGGTTTGGATTTTAAGAAATAAAAATAAATTTACAAATTTGATGATTTTGTGAGTATTATAGTATATTTATATGTAAAAATTTGTCAATATGTCACTATACTTTTTTTAAATATTTGTAAAAAACTAAATATCAATTAAGTGATTAAATTAAAGGTTGTGAGAGTTTTTATAGGTTGTGATCTTTGATAATTGAAATTTAGAATCAATGAGGATTTTTGTGAACTTATAACACTCACCAGTTTGATTGAAGCAAAAATTGGTGAGAACAATTAGACTTAAATATCTACACACCAAGTAATTTTTGGAGCAATTGAATGATTCAACAAGAACAAATCTTTGTTGGAAGATCAACATTGAAGTTGGAGAAGAAGGACAGCCAAAATCTAAGAGGTTTTGAGAGCTTTTCTTTCAATTGGTGAATTCGATTCTTCTCAAAGTTTGTGAGATTGTAAATTACTTGCAGGTTAAAGTTAAGATGAACTTTTAGTCAAGATCAATGGTTCAATTAATACTTATTGAAGTTTCAAAACAGCTATAGTAATTGATTAAGATTTACTTAGAATTTCCTTGGGATTTTTTAGGTTTATTTAGGATTTGGTTAGGATTTAAAATTTGATTAAGATTTGATTAAGATTTGATTATGATTTAATTGAAATTTGATTGAAATTTGCTTAGAGTTGATTTAAGATTTGATTAGGATATAATAAAGATTTTATTTGGGTTTGGTCAAGGTTTAGTTATGATTTAGGATTTATTTAGGAGTTGATTAGAATTTATTTAGGGCTCGGCTAGAATTAGTTTAGGACTTCATTAAGATTTGGTTAGGATTTCATTAGGATTTTATTAGAATTTGGTCTAAGATTTGGTTAAGATTTATTTAGGATTTGATTAGGATTAATTTAGAATTTTATTAAAATTTGATTAGGATTCAATTAGGATTTCTATTTTTTAATATTTCTTTAAGATTCTTTGATATTTCTTTAGAATTTTTTTGTTCAATATATGTATATATATATATATATATATATATATATATATTAAGGTTAATTTATGATTTCTTTATGTTTCTTTTATAATTTCTTTAAGACTCTTTTGGAGTGTAATTAAACATTGATTAACATTGTTATAATTTAATTGAAATTTGTTTAGGATTCTATTAGAATTATTAGGAACTTCTTTTTGCAATTTCTATTTTATCTTCTACAGCCAAGTGCCCAGTGTATTTTCAAGAAAACTTCACGAAATATGACACCATCCTTCTTTTTGATGAATTTTTGTAGTGGATTTGCTTTTGCCTTTTCAAGTGCTACAATAGTCAAAGTAATTTCTTTGTCTTATAATATGAAAATGATGTATTCCAAATTGCCTTAAAAATATTTCTTTTTTAGAAGGCATTTTGTATACAAAACAATTTTGAAGTATTAATAGAAGCTTCTCATAGTCTAAATATAGTGTAATTACTCTTATTTATAAATTCTAAAAATTCCTATAAGAAAGTCACATTTTGATTCCAAAATAAGATATTTTTGATATTTTTGTTATTTTTGGTAATTTTTGAAAATAAAGAGATTTAATACTGAACCATTATATAGCCTTTTCAAGATAGTTGGTTTTGCACAAATAGTAAAAGTATTACCTATGACAAATTACAATTTAGAAAATCTAACTATTCTTAAATTTTTTAATGATCTATCTAATACAATTTTTTTCACTACTTAAATTGAAGATAGAAGACTAATCAAGAATTAATTACTTATTTAACCAAACTAAGCAAAAAAAATCTAAATTTTGAGCTAATAAAATAGAATTTAACAAAGGAAAATTATTAAGACATCATAAATCCAAAGTATTATTTTAAATAGAAAGAAATGTGATTTATGATACATGCAAGAAATAATGCCATGCTTATATTATTAATCTAATACAAAAATATAACAATGAACATATCCAAGAGTCAAAAGCTTCTTAATATCTCTTCTTTATATCTACATTATGATCTATACATTCCAAAAATAATATTACATTATTCTAAAAACTCTAGGTATACAAATTTTATTTGAATTAGATAACCTTTCTCTTATACAAGTTGATCTTTAGATGTAGTGATTGGAAACCCTAGAAAACTTTCTTAGGGGACCAAGTCATTTTTACAACGTTCTTCTAACCCTCAAAAAACTTCAATGTTATTTGGTCTTATTTAAGAAGACTCAATTTGTGGCATATCCAAAACATTTAGAATGAACAACTGAGAAATAAATCAAATGATTTCAAGAAAATAATTCATACAAATGTTATTGAATATGAGAAAGTAATGTAAAAATTGACCAAGGCAAAAAATCTCGCATTGTTTCCTTTCAGTACAATGGAAGGCTTAATGGTGCTTTTGCTGCATCCTTCTCACAAGGCTCGCAAATATATGTGAAGGGATAGACACCGATTTTCAGCATCTAATGGGTGGTAATTCGCCAATTAGCAGATACAGAAGGGTGCATGCGCATAGAATTAAGTTTTGGTGGGCGCTGGTTGGCGGACGGAAGATAAATCCTACCATCAAATTACCACCCAGGAAAATGCTAATTTGAATGTCGCTATAAACGAAAGTAGGCTCAAGAGTGAGAGGTTTACGTGGTCCATCCAGAAATGAAGCATCTCCTCAGCATCTTTCCGCAACCCCCATCTATCCCATGCACTGTGCACTCTTACAACGTCTTTCAGCTCCTGCAATAGAGCCAGGCGTTGACGATTGTCCAGTTTACTAATAGTGCATTACCAGTGCGTCCACGTCGACAGCTTCACCAGCAGTACGAATGAAGGTCAACTGACTGGGCTTAAGAAAACTGGACACTTTCACGCAGTAAATCTCATCATGTTTAAAGTGGATGATTCTTCGAAGATACTGCTGAAAGATAAACCGAACGTTCACTTGCAGGTGATGAGATGCCAAGTGCAACTGCTCCTTCTGTTAGATATTGATCTTCAACTAAAGGGACTGTGCGCCACATTTTCAAACTGATATTTTTAACCGATTTCCCTTCTAAATTTTCACCTGTACCAAAAATTGTTTACATAAAATTATCAGAATCTGATTACACGATATTCAATCTCTCAACATAAGTGCATTTAACTTTCGGAATCATCTGAACTAACAACTAACGATTCACGCTTAAGTAACAATTCCATGCACAGGTACACTATCTGACTTTCTTTCTGAGAAGAGAATTAATCCACTCATCAAATGAGCATGGCTGTTTCCACAAATCACGACGTCACAAAAAAAAGTGGTGTGTTACATATATATGACGTTAAATGGATTCAAAACCGTTTTCAAGAATAGAAAGTAAACCAAACCAGGAGAATTGAATTGTTGCACATGGGTGCAGACTGAAGCGATATGCAAGGGCGATGGTTGCAGGAGAATAAACTGCCATTTTTCTGCAGGTATCGTGGGCTCGTCATTGGAGGACATAAGACTTGAGAACTTCATGCTAATAGCCTCTGCCTGTCATGCAACATTTATCAAGTGGATCAAACTTCCTGAAATTCGAACACGTCTAGTCCCTAGCTAGAGGAATACAGGTTCTCACTAGGGCCCATCTAAACTTCAAATGGATTCAGAGGTGAAAATTTAATTTAAGAATTTCAGCAGTCAACCAGTTCACTTGATGATTTTATTAACTGTAATGCCTAAAATATTGTAAAGAAGTACACTAAACCTGAGGATGAGCAGGAAAGCCAACAGCTCGTTCCAAGTACGAACGAGCATAAACACATGGCTTTAATGCGAAAGTAAAATCCTTCAAAGGAGTCTTACTGATACCCGTGCCCAGAGCTTTGATATAAGCTTCCTGCATCAACCCTCAAGACACATCAAAATTAAACCTGCATCTGATCTATATAACTGAAGACATAAACGGCACAAAGGGACATCCTTTACATCGTTCAATGAGGACAACACTAGAGGCTATACTCGTACCCCATGATCTATACAACTCCAGGCAACCAGAATAACCATAGAAATTGCTGGATTCATATCCAAATTCGCAATTGTCAAGGAAGTCGAACTTACTTTTAGGGTCCACAACTGCATGAACCTTCGTCGTTGCTCTGTTGAGTCTTCAAAATGCGACAACCAATCTGCTTCTTCAGGAGAAAACCGACGTCGTGCAAGAGACATCAAGTTCCTGCTTAGCTTGCGATCGCTCTCTTCTACGTCTACACCCACCTGAAAAAGATGACAATAGCGCTCTCAGGCTACAGTCGCATTCTCTAGAACCCTTCACTGACATTTGAAAATACCCCGCACCAACTCTATCCTCAGTATGTTCGCCCTGAGGCAAGTGCGTGTAGCATTCAGGGCAATGAATAGCCCATTTCCCATAGTTTACGGACTCACCTCGCCATTCATGGTAACAGCACACGCAAGAAGGGATTGCGTATGGGACAGATTGAAGCATAAAGAATGTGGGCTCCATATCTTGTTGTCCTCCATTCGTGCTGGCCAGATCACCTGATCATCGTGTGCAAGATCAACACCAAACAAGAATCTCTTGAGAAAGAAAGTGCCTAACGCCTCAAGCACCTGTTGTAAAATCTGCTGAGCGTAGAATCGGGAGATAAAGATAATGTGAAAGCCTTCCAAAGAAATAGACCTTCAAAGTACTGAGCCCCCCCATGCTCACCTTTGGTTTCCCAAACTCGTTGGTGGAAAATCTAAGGGATGAAGGCTCCACCATCCCATCTGTCACGGAAACGAAGCTATGAGCACAAAAGCTTAAACAGAACAAGAATTCTAAACCACCCGCAATCCAATGTGATGCCTGTGGGCATCGAAGTAAGAGGATAGGATAGTAGCCTACTCACTAGCATTCAAGACCTTTATGCTCCAACTGTGAGCTATACAACTGATGATGTTCCTCAAAACAAGCAGGTTGTAAACATGGATAAGCACGAACAAAAGTTTGTCTTACATCTGGCGAGAGTTGTGCGCACCAAGGTCCGGGCAAGAAGTCGTTCGTTTTGAGTCTTCACATGGCTACAGTCGAGTACTTTCTTCTGCTCATCTGAACTGAGCAGATTCCGGTAAATTTTCATCAGCGATGAATCACGGACATCTTCAGGAAACAAGAACCATAGATGCACCTCGCTGATCGAATTCCCAATTCACCAACCAGAAAATACATCATCCAAGTGTCAAACTCCTGTCTTGCCAAATTATTGCTGAATCACTTCAACTTTGAGATTTCTTCTTATATGAGAAAAACTTCAGATGGAAGAACATGTACCGAGGAGCAGGGAGTGGGCGAAACAAATGCTGTGAAGCTACTGTTGCCATCATTATGGCAGGTTTCATCCTCGGAAGCGACAATACAAATTCGAATTTGGTGCCCTTCTCGATAAGCCTCGACTGTAGACCAAATATTTACTTCCTCATTATGCTATTGCCGTTAGAAGTCTGCACAAAAAATTTGAATTTTGAGTGTAGTTACCATCAAATACAGTAGGATTCCAATGCATCGCGTGACCAACAAGCGACAGTTGAGAACAATGGTAACGTGCAACCCCTTAATGAGTGCACGTTCTAAAATTTATTATTGAAGCTCACGTTGCAATCGGCCCGGTAATTCTATTTTTTTATTGAAGATTAGTGATGATAATAACTATTATGATAATCTACAGAAAGGTGTACAAAAAAATGATCTGGATGACAGTAAAGGGTTGATGTTGGTGGGAAGTGAATTAAACAAACGATTACTAGATTTATCACTATAACTTGTGTGAGAATATTCAGCAAACCATCACTGAGAAGCAGATGGAATATTCAGCAAACCAGGAACTCGTACGAAAGGCACTAGCGTCATTATCGACTCACAAATTTAATAATGATTTATTGTTTGCGCCTGATAAGTATTGAGCTGCTGCTGAATATTAATCATGTGGAAAGCAACTCCCTAAACTACAAAACTAAGAGGTTAAATGACAGACAACTTTATTTCGTAACGCTTACAGGAAGATAACTTCAAATGGACGAAGCTTCTACAACCGCGTTAGTAGTTAAGTTCTTAAGGTAAACTATACTTCATCCCAAAACTTGAAATACGATCCTGCTCAATACAATGAGAAGATCAACTAATCAACTGGTCTGATCCCTTGAAGATCGATCCACATGTACCTGTGCTAAGTACAATCCAAAAATCCACGCCTGGTCTAAAATTTCAATCAGTTTCTGTCTACATATATTTAGGTCTGGCATATGTAGTTTTGGTACCTGGAAATTCTGTATTCGATTTGGCAACCTAATCAGGAGTTCCTTGAAAGAAAACAAGACATATGCATTCAAGACTACTTCTATCTTCAATAATGCCTTTTACTGTTCTTTTTCATTAGAAAATAGCGGTTCTGGGACACAGGTGAACCGGACAGCAAATACTACAAGCGGTATGATCGCGCAAGCCTAGACACAGACAGGGTTCAAGAAGCGTTTATGAACAACTGCATGCGAGATTCGCATGTGTGAAAAAATCCTGCTTCTGCGACTTCGAGCCCATAAACCCTAGATTTAACGACTCAAAATTCATTCCTTAAAAACCAGGGATTACCAGCACAGCTAAGTTGTCCATGAAGAATATAAACCGAGAGATGTTAGGTTCAAACTAAAGAGAGACTGGGACTTTATCATGTAGCCCACCTCTGAAAATCTTATCCAAAAAATGGCGTGCGACAGACACTGTCAAACAACAATGATTCTGAATCGAACATCTTTCAAACTCGAACAACAAATTTGAACAGTGAAAGGGGATAATCTCACTTGCGGTCGCGGTTGCGGTAGCAACTGCAAGTTCCATCGTACTCATCCGGAATGTATAAATTAGCATCTACACATGTCACACACATTTACACTCATGAAACTTCAAGGGGTATCAAACCAAATGACACTCTAATTGCAATAAGCCTAAGCATGCTCGTCAAATCACCGTTTGCTCTCCTGTCGAGCACACTGACAGCCGTCAAACTCAAAAGCGCGCAGAAGACTAGTTTTGCAGACTAGAAATCACCACGTAAGATCCAAGCGAGCAGCGCCATCGAAAGAAAGCCGGTCACATCGAAATTAAACCTTTCCTCATGCCCAGCGCTTGCCAGCTCCTGACAGTGTTTTCTGTTTCTCATCCCACGTTTGAATTGCACCGCTGAATAGAGAAACACCTCGCAACAACTGCAACACTCCGAAGCACAGACCAAAACAAGCAGCAGGCTGAAGCGGCCCTATGACCATAAATGGTATGAATAAGCACAGAACAGGCTACGAGACGCTATGTCGAGCAATCGCTGCATGTGTCGTTGGAACTCCGAGGTTCGCAGGCAAAGAATTTGGAGCGAAGAAGGCGAAGGGTAATTGCGATTTAGAGTTTTGTTAACGCCCCGCTGGAGCTTGGTGCTCATGTCGCCATTCAACTGCCCCCGGAAACCTGCCCCCTTTTGCCGGACACTGAATGTTCATCCCCCAGCCAGCCCCTGGACATTCATCCATCCGAGTCGGATAAACGTTTAGGGGTGGGCAGGGGCGGGCAGGGCTCCGCGGGAAGTTTGATATGGGGTATTTAATGTGTGTCCATGATAGTTACTTTCTTAAAAACGCATATACATGCAAAACATAAAACGAAATACAAAAAAACATTTTTCTGTATATTTGTGAAGAATTTGTGCCACAAGGTACATTTAACGAGTCATATTTATATTACTTGGAGCATTATCCAAATTTTTTTCTTATATACATTCTCAATTAGTAACATTTTCCATCATTCTTATGATTAAGTTCACACTTTCTCATGTCTTCATATTGATAGGGAGAGAGAATCGTAATTTTACTAATAATTTAAAAATAGTAATAAAAACATCAGTCACAATTCTAAGGTTGAATTACTTTTGTATTCATGTTCAATTATGATGACTCCAAAAATAAATAGTAAAGAAATAACACATTTGAGAGCATATTGGAATAGATACGTTATGTTATTACTTGCAAGCCTTGGCTATAAAGAAGGAATGTCATGTATTAATCTTAAGTGATAAATATGTTTAACAATTTATTTATTTATTTATTTATGTACTACAAACCAAAATAATAAGATTTAAGTAGATGTATTTCATTTAACATATGTACTAAACATTAACACCAAATAATGCTTAAATAATAACTTTCCTATTGATGTGACAATGCTAAATTTTAAAATAGAAAATGATTGATTGTGTTTTGAATTACTTGTCTGTGGAGCAAAAAACACTTCAAATCCCTCTCATTACGCATGCGGCATGCTTGAACTAAGTCTAAATCCTTAACCCTAAACTTGGTTAATTGCATATGAATACTTAGCTTGAAGTGCAAACTGATGTGGAACAGCTCAAAGGTTTAAGGTTTCATTTGTCCATGAAAATACACCTCGGATGCATTTTAATGTCAATATGAACTATCCATTGCCACCACCTTAACCTTGACAGAAGTTGTTACAGAGCACATACTTACAAGGTCTTGTCAATTGGACAAGAGATTGTGAAACCTCAGCCTCACTTGTGGATTCTCAATAAAAGACATTATGTGCCATTGTAAAGGGTTGAAGCACTTTTGGATGTGTTACAAGTTGTTGCAATCATGTTTGTTGTAATGAAATTGGACACACAGTGTTTTCATAATTTTTTTTTAAACAAAGTTGAAGCTTCGATGAAGGCTTCAAAGTATTATTTTTGTTTACTAGGGTGGATACTTAGAAGATGAAATATATATATATATATATATATATATATATATATTATTTTGTAAAACATGTTTGAAAAATAAATGAATTTTTTGGTTTTCATTTAAGTGCCACTTATGATTATAAAATTAAAAATATTGATAATGTAATCATTTGTTAAAATCAGATTCTTGAAGATTTTCTTTTAAGATGTTAAAACTTTGTGTGCATGCTTTCGTTACTTTTGTAATTTTCTTGTTCACAAAGTAAATTTTATTTCATTATTATTGTTTTTATTTATTTTTTTGCAACAAAAAAATTACAAAAAATTTGAGAAATTTTTCATGAATGACTTATAATGATTATCTCAATATAGAGGACCTTAAGATGCTACCATTGGATGTTTGCAATCAATATGTATGGTCAATTTTGTATATGATATATATATATATATATTCATTATTGATTTTAAATGTTTAAAATCAATATTAATTTTTCTGATTATTTAAGCTCTTTTCATGGCCTTTTTGATATTCAATTGAATTGCAAGCAAATTTATTCATGATTCAAAAGTAATGAAAGAAAGAAAGAAAGAAAATAGTACTATTCATCATAATAACCTTAGAAACTTATTTGTGAATAGAAGTTATTGATTATAGGACTCCAATATTGGACACTCCATCATATGGCTATCAAGTTCGTCTAAAAGTTTATTTAAAAAATAAAAATAGAAAAGACAAGTATCTATTGGTATTTCTAAAGTCTTTGGTAATTCCAAGTTATTATCATAGACATATATATTTACTTAGATAAGAAGTATTAAGTAAAAGATAAATATAGGTAGATTTGACATTATCTTGTGGTAAAATTTTTTAGAAGCTTTATAGATGCATATTTGACTTTTTCATGTTTATAGTTGATTGATAGATTAAAAACTTGGCCAATAAATTAGCCATGTATTGCACATGTGCATAGCTTATAGTACAAGTTAATAATATGGTGTACATATAGGAAACTTGCCTTGTAAGTTGAGATACATGTTTCATAAATTAAACACATATTGGAGGTCCCATAGAATGTTATTATGTAGCTCTTAGTTTGAGTGTATATATGAGAGTAAGACTAAAGCCTTCTTCACTCTTATCAATACCTTTCTAGTCCATAATCTTATTTCAAGACTTCTTAGTTTTCTTGACTTTTGCAATAGTTATTCTAATTTAATACTATACCATCTTTGAGTGATTTTTTAATCTATTTGAGTGAAATAAGAATTTATTTATTTATAATTCTTTAAAATTCATATTCTTGATAATTATAGTTTTTTTAAGTAATACATAAAAATCATATTTTTTAATTTTAATTCTAAAAAATTATTATTTGTTGTTTTTTTAAAAACTTAAAATCTTATTTGAAGAAAAATTTGATGCATATTGGCTTTGAATTATATAATTAATTATTAATTAATAATATTTATTATTTTATAAATATTTTTTAAAAAAACTAAGTAATTTAATAAAATTATTTATTTTTTAAGATTCAATATGATTAAAAGTGCCCATATTATTGAGCTTTGATAAATTATCTCTATCTATAAATGTCTATGATTTCACATCAATATTTTTACATGATGTATTTTATTAATAATTTATAATATATATATATATATATATATATATATATATGCATACACTAGCAAAAACATGTGTCATTTGGCACCACATCCATCCATTTGCTTGTTTGTCTATTCTCTTTAATTCTTTAAATTTTTTATTTCTAAGTTTTTTATTTTCATGTTCCCTAATTCTCTAATGTCTATGTACTTTGATTTTAATTTTTTTTATTTTCTCCGTGTTCTTTTCTACATTACTAATCATAAGACTTCTTTGTATCTTTATGTTATATCTAAGCTATCTTATATAATAGATTGTATCATATATCTTAGTATTTATTTTAAAAATATATATTTACTTATTTATTACTATGATATTAATTCAAAAAAATCTATTTATTTTAATAATCACTTAGATAATAGGAATATCTAGAAGTACATAAAAATAAATAAATTACATAATATCTTATAGAGAATCTTTGTCAAAGTATATAAATGTGACTTTGTCTTTATATATGTCTATATATTGATTGATAGGTTAAAAACTTGGCCAATAAGTTTACTACTTGTGATACAAGTTGGACATATGGCACAAATATAAGAAAAACATCTTACAAATTAAACATGTGACTTGCAAGTTAGACACATGTTAGAGGTCTTATAGAATGTTGTTACGTAGCTCCTAGTTAGATAGTATATATAAATGCAAGCATGAGACCTTTGTCATTTCTTGCAACTTGTTAAAATAAAGAGTGCAAATTTTCTTCTTGCTTCTAGTTTAATTTTGAGAATTTTCAACTTTTTAATCTTTGACAATACATATTTTAATTTATTCTTCAAATATATATATATATATATATATATATAGTTATTTTTCTTTAAAAAATATCTCATTTATTTATTTACATTCTTCAACTTCTTATTCTTAATAAATTAATATAAAATACTTATAATATCAAAGTTTTATCTTTTAAAATTAAGAATTAATTATCTTTTTTTATAAGATATAAGTATATTAGAAATTATTGATTATTTATTTCTAAATTGATATATTTTTTTTAATTTTTAAGTTACCTTTTTATGTCTTGAATAATATTATATGTATATTATTTTTTTATTGAATTATTATTATACAACTTATTAAAATAAAGAATGCAAAATTTCCATAATTATGTGTATTTGTCAAGGACATACATTAGGAAGTTGTAGAAGATTTTAGAAGGTTCTAGAGAAACTTTGTAGTTTGTAGAAGCTACTTGAGAAGTTTTCAAGCTCGTAGAAGCTACTTGATAAGCTTCCTAACTCGTAAAAGGTGCTTGAGAAGCTTCCTAGTTTGTGAAAGTTACTTGAAAAGCTTCTTAGCTTGTAATATATATAGGAGCCAAGACTGAGGAGATCCTTAGTGTCGACAACACACGTCTTAGAGCTCTAGCTCACCTCTTTAGTGTTATTCTTGTACTCATCTGATTAATCTAGTTCTTGCTGATTCTTCTTGAGCTTCTTGTTTAGATTTCCAGTCAGTATTATAAATTCGTGACAGTTTGTCGAGACTACACTCATCTTTCATATCAGAGCTAGTTCTTTCTTATTAGAGTGTCGATTATCCCTTTGCTTGGAGGTGCTAGCATTTTAGAAGTTGTGGATTATCCTCCTCTAAACTGATATTTCTTCTATTATAATATTGGAGTCTTATCTTTCTTAGAGAAAGTAGATTATCCCACTTATTGAAGGTTTTAAGGCGTTTTAGAGGTTGCAAAGTACCCTCCTCTAAACCAATATTGTCTTGTTGTAGAGCCATTTCTTTCCTTCTTTTAGAATGGCCGAAGGTCAAGATATTACTATGGCTAAAAGTTTGAAGTCCAAGTTGGACGCCATTATGAATGCTCTTGCTATGTTATCACAGAGAATTGTAGAGATTAAAGGAATCATTACAAGACTTCATAATGATGGAGCATTCGGGATGGTACAATCGACGATTCACCAGCCTCATACTTCAACACCAAGAGAGGTAGCTATGCCTCTAGTTCAATAAGGACCATTGGTCTTACAACGAAAACAGACTTGAATTAGCCTTCT